CTGTCTGTTGCTTTTACACGAGTGATTCTTTGTTTTGTTCCCTCTCTCAACTTTTTCTCACTTTGATGTTCCTCCTCCCTGTGAAAACCGAAGTCAGCTAAATGGCTAATGATAACTATCAAAACGCCGAAGTCAGGTAAAGGGCTAATGATAATTATCAAAACGCCTGCCATTTGACATAAATAAATAAATGTCTAATAAAATAAGCGATTTCAATTTAACCCTATTAAATTCTATTCATTATTCAAAGTACAAAATTTAGAGAAAATTCATTCTGATTAACACAATAATCGGAGATACGTCGCAATATTTGAGGAAACAACATTCTACTAATGATATACAATAAATAATATGTTCACAGGATGAAATTCAATTATAGAGCAACACTCCGACAATAGGATAACTTTCAGAAATGTGGGAATAGGTCTACACAGTAGGTGAGAAATCGAGAGTTTATATAGGATGCAATGGCGTTGTGGTCAGTAGGAGAATCCACTGGAAAACGAGCTCAAGTGTATTTAAATGGAATGAATGTATAAATAAATGCAGAGACGATTTATCGATAAGGGATCAAAGGGCGCGAATGTATATGTGGTAGATATGAAATGCAAGACGCCACACAAGATTGATTTATTTCAAAAAAGTGTTTGCTTAACCATAAATTGTGAAAACGTCCAAATAACATCAAATTTCACTGAGAAATGCGAAACATTCAATTTAATCAATAATCTCAGAGCCATACATTTTCAGGATTTCAAGTCGATTATGCTTTGACAAAGCCATTCACTATCGATTTTACCTTTAGGAGAGAAAAATGAAGGTATATTTCAACTTAATTGGATGTGGCCTAAGTTTAAGTTAGAACAAATGACTACTACTTCGATAGTTGTGAGCTGCATCACTCATCGATTTAGGCCTCACTACTAAGACAGTTTGAAAACAAAATTGTTGGAGTCAAAGAGAGGGGTTCCAAAAGTTGTCGACCTTCCAATACTACCATTATTAAATCATGAATAGTGTAAGATGTGAAGAGTTCGAAATTAAAAGGAACAACTTTCCCCGCCTGAGATTTTTTTTGAAGACAATAAATCCAGTTTGGTAAGAATTTAAAAGGTTATTGAATAGAGTACTTCATTGAACATCAGTTTTTCCCCCATAAAGGAAACCCAGCAATTATGTAGATTTCGTTGACTTTGCATACCTTATAAGCTATTATTAATTTAAGTGTTGTTTGAAGTACAGCTAGAAATGAACCAGTTCATAACTATTTAGTAAATCGATTAACTCCATTCAAAATTCGATTAGCGCCTATTTATCCAATTGAAGCAAAGCAAGCAGTAGATAGAAGACCTGCTGCTTTGGCATGAAATCGGAGTTTCTGATTGATTGAAATGAACAGAAGCAGAAAGAAACAAGAGCTCACCTCAATGCTCGCTTCATAATCACATTCACCGTGGATGCTGCCGTAAAGACCGAAACCAACCAGATGAATTTTGCGATCGACTTTGAATCTGCCAAAAAAAGCGAAAAAGAATAAAACGTAGTAGGTAAAATATTGTCAAAGCTGCGTTAGATTTTCACTGGATAATTATAGCTTTCGTATTGAAATAGCCCTGTTGGTACTGCGCGTCTACTTGAAATTCCTCGTCGTCAAAATACACTCGATGAGTTAAGTAACTTAATAATTCTCAGTAACAATAAAACAAGCATTAATTTCACGGTTTACATTTTAAAGTACACACATATAAGCTTTATTTTTACCCTAAAAGAAACAATATATGAGAATACTAGTGGAGATCTTATCTTTTGCATTTTTAATATTTCGCTGGATGTCGATCATAGAACTGCCAACTTTCACCTATTGCGATTTTCCCATTTACAGATATGCACGCTCAACAATATTCATCTTCACTGCCAAGACCTTTATTTTCAATATTTCCTAATATAATAAGCAGTTTCAAACCAATGGAAGTTATTTTCTAATGTCTCAATGCAAGAGCAGTGGGAATCGTTAGTTTGACAAACAAGTCCCAACATAAAACCAGGTCAATGAGCAGTTTTCACAACTGCTTTCATCCAAATGAAAACAAAATTAACACGTGGTATAACAGACTTGGGGGTTGAGGAGCCTAGATCAAACAAGAAAACACCTCTCCAGACGCAGTTTGGGATCTTGGATTCTAAATCAGTAAGACGCAGACAAGGCATCATAGAAACTAAAAAAACTTCCACCTTTCAGTTAACGAGTCTAAAGTAGTATGATCAACGATTCAATTGATCTATGTCTCAGATATCGATTTCAAAATTAACAATGACGCCTTAATACAAATTATGAAAAATGAACAATCATAAGAGGTAAACATGAACGTTGGCCCAATTCTTACCTAATACGATCACTAGTTCCCCTATAATCCCACCTCTGATCTACAACCATAAATCGTTGCACCACTTCCTCCGCATCATGAAGATAGCATCGTGGTCGTTTGACGAAGGGCAACTCCGGTTTGATGTTTTTGGCAGCAATAAAGTACTGAAAAATCTTCACTACCATATCATTACACAAAACACCGGAGGGTACAACCAAATTGGCAAATTCTTCGATACTCATCTGTGGAAATCTGATGTGGGGTAGAAGAGGCTGAAGTATTTGCCTCAAGGAGTCTTGTGGAACATTCGAAAGATTTGGCAGCTCGGTGGCTTGAGATGCAGTAATATTAGAACGTGAAAGACTATTGGATGAGGGTGACTGAATAGAAGAAGTAGTGGGCTGAGGTGCTTCAGTAGAACTAGGGCTAGAGATCTCACTTTCGGTCCCAATGATTCGTAGGTATTCAGCTTTAGCCCATTTGAGAATGGATGTAAATAAACGAGATTCGCGGATGCACAACGTATCTCTCTCAAGAATATTCAAAAGCAGATCCTTATCTGCGGTTAGAAAATCTTCCGTATCAAACACACGTGCGGTATTCTTATCAATCACCTGAAATCAAATAAATAAAATATGGTTACTTAAGTATATTCAGCGGTGGATATGGAAGATATGGATATTCTTGCCTCCAAACATTTTTGAGCCAGTTGCTGCTCATTGAAGAAATTGGCATGACTCAGAACCAAAAAGGCATTTTCCACAGATATTGATTGGCTGAGGAATTCGAAACAGGCGTTCTCCATGCCATTGATGGCATACTTCTTTGACACATAAAGGGTTTGGAAAACATTACTTGCATCTATCTGGATTTCATCGGTGTAGATAAAACGCAGCATATTGATAAAAGCAACAGGGCTGACATCGTCCACATGCACCTCTAGAAAATTGTTAGATAGGTGATTACAAATTGGCTTATATATATTAACTATGCTATAGCGCCAAATCCTAACAGTCTTCAAAAATCACATCGAAAAAATATAGATATTGGAAAGAGATTAGACATGGTTATTCCTATAGAGATACGAGTGATATTTACCCCAATAATTTTGTTCAATTGGCAATTTCAAAATCTCCCTCTCTATAAATATTTGCTAACTTCAGTTTCCTCTCAGCCCTTGACAATCTGCCATTTGGAAGAAATAGCTGCCTGATTGATAAATTTTAAGAAGAATTTTGTTAAGATGGGGTGTGCGATCGACTTACCTTCACGTTGTGCATCCTGGACAACGTATACTCATACGGCAAAAAAGTCTATAAACCGGAATCCGACTTCTGAATTCAAACAACCATCACTCCACTGTGTGTCGTATTCCACAACTTCCATAGTGCACATCTAACCTATTCTCTACATTTGTGTCTATCTGTCTCTTCTATATCTGTGAATCACTCTTCTGTCCCCACCCCCTCTTGACTTTTTATCACCTTGATGCTCCTTCCCCTCTGTGAAACCTGAAATCAACTAAAGAGCTAACGAAGACTATCAAAACGGCTGCCATTTGATATAAATGTTAAGACAAAAAAGTGATAGAAATTCATTCTTCGAGAAAGTAATCAACAAAGAAGTACTTTGTGGGAGGACTTACTATACAAACGCAACAAATTCTTTAAACACTGATAATGAATAATAATTAAGAAAAGACCCTTTATGGTTAGTAACAACTTCAGCTTACATAAATTAGCCATAATCGAATAGTTAAGACTGTATTGCCAAAATTGAACTTGTTAAAAAGCTGATATATTCCGATGAACTTTTCAAAACTTACCGATAGGATTATTCGGATTGATCTGACTAGAAGAAGGATTAAACACGAGAGGCTGCCTGCGAGTTTCCTTCTCCAGGGAATTTAAATTTTTCGAAGAGTCGATATGCATATGTTCTGATGAGGAAGACAGACTAGTAGTCAGGGGAGAAGAGAGTAGAGGTCTAGAAGTTTGCTTGATCATTGTTTGTTCAGTAGATTCTGTGACAGATTGATCATCAGAAACTGCCGGTGCAGAGCGTGAGGAATTCTGAATTGACATTGGTCCATAGAACATGGCCTCAAAAACAGCCGAACTAATCGCCAGAATAAAACTATGAGCTGGAATGCGTTGAACCATAATCTCTGATGAGAAAGATAGATCCTTAAAGTACTTATTGTGAATAAAAGGGTTAGGCGCACTATCACAACCAGGCCGATAGTGAATGTTAAAGTAAACATCCGCTAGCATCGTATTTGCAAAAAGTCTTCTAACCCTCTCACTAACACAGAAACGATTGGACTGCCAATCAAAATGCAAGGGCGAAGAGGTAAGAAGCTAAAGAAAAAGTAAATATGTAGTTAAGAAAATATGTGTTAGGATATAGCTTAAAAATAGCTTACACATGAAGCGTTAGCAAAATTTTCGTTAAGAAGTACGGGAGATCGTTGTCTGTTCTTTGCAGTAGCCATGTTCTTTGCAGGGGATTCATCCTCCCCGGTAAAAGGATTAGAATTACTTGTAGATTCACTGGACATATTCAACAGCTGACAGCTAAAAATAACCGCAAATATATGCAATGCGGACTGCATTAAATGAAAATATTAACAAATTTACATGAAAATAATATTATGGATTAGATAAAATGAAGTAGGTATTATAAAAATAAGGTGCATAAATTTTGGAGTCAGAAGAACATCGAGAAAGAAAATTAAACAGACGTGAAAAATAGAACCTTATGAATAGGAGACAGGCAATCTTGAGTTAAGCGGGACACAAATCAACCATGTAAAGCTAATATGTTAAATCTCAAATAATAATAAAAAGGTATTCTTACATGTTAAGTTGTTATTCAGTGTTACAGATTGAAATATTTTATTGCATTTTTAAAGTGGATGCGAATATACGTATATACTATACGTATATATACGTATACTAGGAGATAGAAATAATTTGTGTGCATTATTTATTCATTCTATCTAACATAGGCAAAATGAATAATAATAAACATGCTCAAGCACAATCAAATTCATAAAATGGTACACCAGTGTGAAAATTACAAACACGAACAGGTATGTACTATGGAGATTAATTTTGTCTAGCTTGTTTAATGAGCGATAAATTATAGATAAAATAAAAATCTGGAAATTCCATTCTGTTGAAAAATAGTTGCTCGAAATTTTGATCGAACTGGCCAATATTAAACAGAAATTTTTGAATTAAAGAAGCAACCTATTAACTAAACTTAGCAAACAAGTAGGCATGATATATGATCAGACTAGCTAGGTTATTCTTCCTAATTGAGCGAATTGGTTTCAACTACAACAAATGACACAAAAAGTGTAAATATACTTTATTTGAAAAGTTATTTGCTCATAAATGTCCCATAAACATGTCATCCATTACTTTATGAACATTGACCTCCTATTGGAACAAAACTGGCAAAATATTGATTGTACCTAATTTATAAAGACAGCATTTTGCTATCTACAATATCCTTAAGTTATTTTTCTCAATCACGTTGTTAATCTTCCACAACTTCAAATTCTCTGACAGTTCGTATGATAAAAGAATTCGCGTACTTGTTATAGTACTTTGAATTAATTATCTCATAAATATTTTCATAATAATCAAGGCTTTAAATTTCCCCAGTAATTTAATTTTATTTCTGTCTTATTCAATAAATTACTGTAAAATCATTTTTCGCAAGAGCTTCAATATAAACTTTCGCAACAACATTATTTTCAAAGCTGAATCCTAACCTACTGCTGAACAAAATGTCATGAATGAGGCATTAATTTATATAATCTTAGACTTATAACACCTAAAATGTCCTATATAAATCTCGATACCAATCAGACCTCAAGTATAAAAGGACGGAACTTTCAGCACGAATAGCTTTTGTTCTATTCAGTAAACAAATATACGAAAGTAGAATGAAAAACGTGCTTCAAGATTGATTGCCTTGTAGGCCATCATCACAGTTGCGATGTAGTCATTTGTGATCTTGCAAATTCAGGTTAGAATTTGAGAAAAAAATATTCGACAGCAATGTTCACGGGAGAGTTTAGTGGGGATAATTAATTCATTTTTTGAATTAAGTATATACTAATTGTAAAATATGAATTGTAAAATATTTTCTTAAAATTATTTTGAATTAGTTTTTTAATTATTAATTATAACTATTGATGAATTAATTGAACTCATTTGTTTATCAACGAGAGACATACTGTTATAACATATTGTAAGGTTTGGCAGAAATTCGATATTCTGTTAGGCTGACTATCAGTGAGTTGAGTGTTACGGGTTTGACGCTTGTTAAACCGTTTTGACATCATTTTATTTTTCATAAATCTAGTGAAACTTGATAGATTAACGGAATAATATGTTTGGTATATTCTTTAACTTGTTGTTTCATCTTTTACTTGCTGTAAATAGCCCTTATGTTATTTAGCTACAATGGTATATTGCTTTCGTTAGCATTAACTTAAACAGTTTTACATAATTACGTGTATCTTTTCCTTTTAGTGCATCACATGATGGTAAGTCACCTATTTAATCTTCATCCTTCTAGTTTGATATGGGATTTGATCGCATACACTCAGGGTTTTCAATGACTTACAAATGCTACTCGCATTTGTTAACCCCTGGAAAATCGAGGGATGACTTGATGGATGGTGGCAAAAGTAAGATCTAAAATTTTGTCCAAGTTATTAAAATCAATTTTAGTTCTACTTCCACAGTCGGCGTTGGAGTATTTAAGTAGGTTTTTTCTGGTTTCATTGGTTGTAATGCTGTTATTATTTAGCTCGTATGAACACAACTAATCCAATGACGTTTAAATTAACTAATTCGGCAACCAATAAAAGTCTACATTGCGGTGTCCTGGAGTTTGTCGCTGATGAAGGACATATTCATGTTCCATACTGGATGATGCAAAATCTTAGTTTAGAGGAAGGAGATCCTGTTCATGTTAAAAGTGTCGTCTTACCCACTGCAACTTTTGCTCGTTTTCAGCCTCAATCAGTTTCTTTTCTGGATATCTACGATCCAAAAGCTGTGTAAGTTTTGCCTGCCTATTCCTTCTTGACCCTGTGGCTTAGGTATCAGAGTGCAAGTCATCCGTGCCAGAGATCTCCTTTTTCTTATTGTTACACATTTTGTGAACGGAATGATCCGTCATAGTTGCTAAAATGGGTCAAAATAGGGGTTCACGGCCGTGGATTTATATATTTTCCGTTACTGAATCCCATCTTCAGAATGTCTAGGATGAGTGTGCACGAACGGATCTAGAAATTTTTTTAAATACCAAAATTGGTTTTTATATATATTTTTTCCCTCTAGTTTGGAGTTTGCTTTACGAAAATTTGCTTGTCTCTCGGTTGGAGATGTTATACCAATCACCTACAACGACAATCAATACGATCTTAAGGTTCTAGAGTTGAAACCCAACAATGCCGTTCAAATTATTGAATGCGACATGAGCGTACGTTTACTCTATTGATTGGTCCTCTATTATCTGTTTTACGCTAATATCTTTTTATTGTAGGTGGATTTTGCACCGCCTGTGGGTTATGTGGAAAATAGCAAACCCAAGCCAGTAGTACCTGCTTCTGATGTAAGTTTTATTCCAACAGTTTGTGAGCATGATTTTGTGGTATAACGCTAAAATTTGTGGGAGAAATTTAAGGCCGTGGACTGGCGCTTATCGATACTTGTCTGCTTTGATGGCATGATTAGTCATGCTGGTTGAGATTGTTTTGGATTAGTGTGTCGAAATGTGCTTTTTGTTGTTTAGAGGCTCTTGATTGACATTCATTTGCTTAAAATAGGTTTTTGAAAGCATTTTAACTCAATATCACAGTCTTCAATTATGTAGATTTTATCATATTTGGTTTTATTTGTTTTTAAATCTCAGGATACTAATGAATCACTCATCCCAGATCACGCCAAGGGAGTGAGGGTCTTCGGTGGTACAGGAATTAGGTTGGATGGAAGGGTTGTTGAATCTGCTTCCACCGCTGCATCTAAAGCTAGCTATGTCATCTCTGAACGGTGCGTTGAAGCAGGTGAATTTGCCTCCTGAAATACTCCATCTAAACAAATGTTTTGTTTTTATTTTCTAGAGGTAAACCTAACTACGATTACAAACCTGGTAATCTTACTTTCCTGAGAGTAACTAAGAAGCATGTAAGTTGATCTTGAAATCTCGAGTTACTTAATCGTCTATGTTACCTATTTGCATAACGCTATGCTTATGAGTCTCCTTTATTTGTAAGAGATATTCTATTCTATGTTCTATTTATTGAACTTACGTTGTCTATATGCATGTTAAGGAGGCTGAGGATGCTTCAACTTTCAAACCATTCGTCGGCAAAGGGATTAAGCTGAAGGGTGAAAGCTGAAGATTTAGGCTTCTCAAGATATTCTGCTGTAAATGTCTTTCCAGCTTCAAATATATTTTGCTTTATAGTTTTATTGCTCACTCTTGATTGCCATCTTTTCTTATGTGCTTCAAATATCAAGTTGGGTTTGAATTCATTTTCATTTTATTTAAAGGTTGAATTCAGGTTAAAGATTAAAATTCGGGAATTTGAACTCTAATTTATTAATCAATAAGGCTGATTGGATCGATCTAATAATCAATTTTATTGCTAATTGAGTGAACTTTGCCTTTGCTGGCTTAATCTACTAGTTCTTATCATTGAGAGCGCACACATGAAGCAAAGCGGCTTGACCTGCCGTTCAATTTACTTAACTGAATATCATTTTTTATTAAATTCGTCCAGAAACTCAAGGACCTAACCTTAAAATGTGAATTTAGATTATATCTGGTGAACGCCTCAGATATACCAGGATTAAAGTACATCATGGTATTGAAAATCGCTGACATCAAGCCCAGAGGTGCGGATATTTCTGGAATTCCACGAAATGTCTTGACCGTTTTTACATTGGCCCTAATTATTCTTCCCTAATGATGCGTAAATATCTTTGCGATTGGAGTATTCGTGTTCATACTTCATGGTACTTTTACGCATTTAATCATCTAGACGTATTTATATTGATTTGCTTTTCGGTACCTAAAAGCTCGACCAATTCTCCGTTTATTTGAATGCGGTAGATGATAGTAGCAATGCAAATCCCTTTAGAAATTTATATTTCAGAAGAAGGGGCTCATTATTCACAATGTGATTGAAGATGCTAGAAGATGGCATTAAACTGATAAACCTTTGTTGACCAAGCCCAGACAATTTTTACCCATATGTATTTGTGTATTTTTCCTTCCATCGGTTGAGAATGGAAATGATGTTCTGCTGTTTTCTACATCTTTTGCATATCAAGGCATAAACGCCTGTACTGGCTAACTCTGTCCATGTTGTCGAAAGTGGGTACTGATGCGGACTTGAAATTTTAGCTTGGAGCAAGTAAATGTCTAGTTCTTTAGATTAGCTGGACATCCATCCCATTAAGGTTACTGGGCAAATTAATGGAGATAATGATAATATTATAAAGTCACCATGCCGCGTAATTACAGAAGTGTGAGCTTGACCTCTGGAAAATTTTGCACAAAAGGCCATACGATTAATAAACTTCTACTGTATTCTCAATTACCGAAATTGGACAAATCCAAACTTTCTCGTTTACGGAGCTGGATTTGGGTTGTTCATTTCAGATTTGAAGGATTCGCCCCTTGAGAAATAGATGCGGTTTGGGTGCAAAATCTTAATAGGAAAAATAGCAGTCGCTTAACTCAAAGGCTATAAGGAGCTTGTGAAAGCTGGAAATATTCTGCATGGGTGTTGAATGTCTTTGGTTTCTTGCAAATGCGTGTGAAAAAGAAGACTCGGCTAAGTCACAAAGGAAAGATGGATATTCCACAAACGAGCAATTTCATGTTCAATTCATGATCGTCACAAGATCGAAGTGAAATAAGTCTGGTCAATAGAGTGTTTGAAACTAAGCCATATGGAATTCCAATCTATCGATGACCAAGAACTTGTTAAATGCATTGAAGGAAACTAAAATTAACGTGACCTAACGATTCGGAGTTTTGGCGCGCGATAGACTTACCTCCACGTGGTGCACCCTAGGCAACGTATACTCATACACCAAAAAAGTCTGTTAACCGGCAGTTGACTTTTGACTTCAAACTACCATGACCCGACTGTATGTCATATTCGACCCCTTCTACAGTACTCATCTTACCTTTTCTCTACTTTTTTGGCTGTCTGTCTGTCTCTTTACATCTGGGAATCACTTTTCTTTCCCCTCACTCGAATTTTTGCCATTTTAATGTTCCTCCCCTCTGTGAAGTCCGAAGTCTGCTAAAGGGCTAATGTTAACTATCAAAACGCCTGCCGCTTGAAATAATAACGATTCGCAGTCTAGATGCAGTATTACTTTGTTTCTCAACTTGCGGTTAAAACTTTTTGGCGTTAACTAAGCCACTGTCATCATCCAATTTGTTCTCAAAATGAAATTTTTTGCCATGAGTTGAATGATGTTAATAATAATACCACTTCTTAAGTAATTGTTCTACAGACACACTTGATAGTATACATTTTGGCTACTTATTTATTTGAGTAACAAGGTTGTAATGCATTCGAGAAGTCAAAATACTATAAGCTATTGAAAGCTTGCTTATTAAGCGGTAAAAAAGTTCATATTTATTGATTAGTCTTGTTAATTTTTACCGAAAGATGTATATCAGTGAGAGACTGAAAACGCGTGGGGGTAAATTACATAATTGGAAACATTCTTACAACAAATAAGATTACCATGGCTTTCAAAGACGGTCCATTATGAAAGTCAGAATGGAGTCTTACACTCGAGTACGTTTACTATGGAGAATGGTAAATAACCACGATTGGCAGACTCTTTTTGATATGAGAGATTTCACTTCAGTGGTAAAGACAAGCAATTGCAAGTACTTTTGTGGTTGGCAGCTGAACCAGTTAAATACGGTCGATGAGAGGAGTAGACGAATTCAAAATTCTCAAAACTGACTAAGAATTCACTTCTTTTGATTCACACGTGAAGTGTATTGTGGGATTGTAAGTAGGAATTTAAGCTTTTGAGTAACCTTTGGAGTGTTCTCGACTCTCACATTTCAGTTTCGTTTGAAATCCTTGCATTTGAAATGGGATATTGCTTGCTTCCCTTCGACTATTACTGAATTTAAAATAAGTTTTTTTTTCTATTTAATCCCATTTAGAACAGAGTAAAGCGAATACTTTTGCTTAATAACTACAAAATAATGCTAAATATGACGATTCAAAAGTTTAATTTCGCCTTAACGTTTCTGAAATATTTTTAAAGTATTAATTTTAGGAAAGGTTGCGTTCCTTTAAATTTGGAAATAAATTTTCTAAGGCTATAGTAAACACTGGCAGAAAGAAAGTAACTTTTTTCAGGACACACTACGCAAATACCATTTACTACGTTGTTGCGGGGTCACCATCGCAGTTACCGAGTTCTCAGCTCGATATCGAGCTCATTTGAGCCAATCAAACTGACGAGATTTCACCTCACGAGCCAATCATCTTTTACTGCAATTCTTAATCCGTTGGACAGTGAGTGAAGCTGACAGTTTCCTCGTAGAAGTGTCTCATGCGGCCGAAACCGAATGATTTTTCGAGTTCGTGATCCTCCAAATACTTCTACTCATCAACCGTTATCTCGCAAACCCTCAGAAAGTCGATCCAGTCCTTCACCAACGCCCTCAGAATCGGACAACGAATCAGTCGGGGGTGTGAAAGTCGATCCCCTCCAAGTTCCCTCCCGAAGACGCCAAGAAGGTCTCCAAACTCGTGTGAGCTACATTGAGTCAGGAGAAGACCCCTTTGAAGAAATAGTCATTCGAGCTGAAACCTACTTTCCCAGCTTGACTAACATAGTTCGAGATCCTGCCAGCAGCTACATTGTAGAACAGACTACCTACGAGACCCAGCCTCTTATCAAACCTTCACTTCCCCCTTCTGTACCACGACCAACCGCCCAACCCCGAAGACAATTAACTAGAAGTGCATCAGCTACTCGCCCAAATCCTTTTAACACACCACCAGCAGAGACGAAAAGAAGAACAGAGGAAGAACTTGATAGACGCATCATGATGTATTCCCGTTCACGTCGAAACTCCTTCTCTTTTTATAGCCAGCCAAGTTACCAAGGGGGAAATCCTTATCAACAGGGACCACCGCCAATGCAATATGGAGGTAACTATTATTCTCAACAACAACAGCAAGTCAATACTATCCAACCCCAGCAGCAGCAACAGCAAGATGTGGACGAGAGGACAACTTACGACTACCGTGATTTTCAAGCAGCCAGACAGATTTTTGAACAACGATCAACTATGAGTAAACCACAACCGACTCAACCACCTGTGCCTCGAAATCATCTTCATCGTCTTGAGTTGAGACCACAGAATTCCATCGCGAGTACAAATGAACCGACAGAAAGTGTTTTCAGCGGAGGAGGCTGTACTGCCGGACCTATATGTCCCTTGAATAGTTTGCCTCAACCGGCCCCTCGTTTTCAACATATGTTTAATCATCCTCCACCACCATCTCAAATGAACACCCATGAGACTTCTACTGCTGGCGCGATTGTGAAACGAGAACCGCGGAACCCTTTCACTGGTGGATGTGGATGTGGACCGGGAGCAGGATGTGGTGCCCTTCCGGATACACCGATCCACCGAGATCAGGGCAACCCTCGTGAGGCTATTAAAAGGTTCCTTGTTTCAGAAGAGGTCGGCCCGGGTGGTGTTAAAAGTGTCTTCAGCTTTCCAGGTGGTATGGAACCTAGCGATTTAACTCTTCTACGAGCTGCAATTTCAGCTAATGCACCAAAGGACGCCTTTATTCCAGAAGAGAATGATGACTTGGAAGAACAACTCAACCACCAGTTAGAGAAGACTTGTATGGATCCCAGAAGTATTCAGATGATCCATGAACAAACGCCAATACAGCAACCTCAACAATCTAATCATCCTCAGCCACCACCCCCACCAAATCAGCCTATGTATACAGTCAGTCGTGCAATGGGGGCGAGTATGAATAATGGTAATATCTTGCACATGACTGTTCAGCATCATCAGAGGCCTAGCATTTCGAAAAATGGACCTCGACAACCGCAGGAGGTTCAAGAAAGTGCCAGGAATGAAAATCCTCTTGAAACATTTATGATGAACGGGATCACAAATTCATTTGTCGGACCAAATAGTGCGGTACAGGCTCAAGGTTCAGCCACTTATCCTATGTGTATGCATCACCATCATCAGCACCAACAAGCTGACACTGGAAGTAATGCTGCAGACAATTGGCAATTCGCTGGACCGCAACAACCGCAAGGGTTTGGAGGCAACTATCCTACTTTCACGACCTTCAACTCTACACGATTTGATCCAGTGCCAATGGGAAGTGGAGGAGGTGGAAGAAATCAGACCCAGCAATCAAACACCGACAGTCGATTTATGATGGGTTAAGACTTGATTTATCCAATTATGGTTTTTGACTCTGGTTGAATCAATATTTCTATCGTTGTCTTTACCATTGATTCTATATAAATTACAATAATTTTGTCTCTGATTAGAATTTGTGTTCTGCTCAGCATTTATGTAGCTTAAACCTTCGCTTATTAGAAGTGCAGGATAAATGAATTGTTCACTACCCATAATGGCAATATTTGTGCTTCTAACTGTACAGCTTTTTTGCCTTAATTTTGCACTTAGAGAAGTGAGTGGTGAAACTCGGTGATTTTCGTATTAGGGCCGGTTGCGATTTTTTCCTATTATCATATAAATCTGTGTATCTTGATGCATTTCAAGATCATCCTATTGAATAGAACTAAAACTTTAATGCCTATTGCACGAAAAAGTTTGAGTTTGTTGACGCATTTTTGCAAACTTGTATTCCTCCCATCTGTTCGAAATCTTCCAAGAGTACGAGGACTCAGTCAGATTGGTGGTGGTGTCGGTACCATCTTCGAAATGATTAAACCGTATGCCTGCCTACACCAAAGTTTACGTTTTGAATGCATTTTTTTCTTTTAGACACGACACTTGTGGAATAACACAAAATAACAAGTTTCACATAGCAGGGTTCACTAGAATAAGGTGTTATAAGGCATGTGCTCTTACTGATTTTGAAACATTTTCACAGGCAAGTAAGAGCTGGCGTTCACTTCGCAAAGACCTAGTTTTGCTTTGATTTCCAAGATTTTTATCCCTCTCTCAATTTTAAATAGGTCAGAATACTAAGAGGAGAAATAATCTGCTTTTCCTTGTTATGCCACTAAATATTTTTAAAAATAAGTACAGTTAACTATTTCCTACACTGGTACGAGTCTAATTCGATATCATTGTTATCACACCTGTGGCTTAATCTAGTATCTATCAGAAATATGTTTATGAATTTCAGTATTAGTGCCATAAATGTTTGAGAAATACGTTTTCGGCTTTATCTTTTTTCATCCAGTAGAATGGGAAATCGAATATTTTACGCAAAGCTTGTTAAATTATAGACAAACTACGGATAATTGGGTTCAGTTTGTGATTTTGTCCAATTCGTAAATCCTGAAAATTGCGAAGCCTTTCGTTAGGCCACATGCTCTCTGTAGTGCTAGTAACCAGTAAACCGCGTAGTTTTCTACAATAAATATTCAGCACTCAAATTACGATATTGTAAGGTCATGATTAGATCAAGCTTTTCTGACGCAAATTAAAGCATTTAACAAGTCTACTTTGTGGATTTTGGTGCATGTGATGCTAATTAAAAATAAAGTTAAAGAAGTATTAACCAGACATAAGTTGCTCTGACTGTTTGAATATGCAATAACAGTAATTAATTTGTTTATTTTTATCAAATGGCAGGCGATTTGATAGTTATCGTTAGCCCTTTAACTGGCTTCGGGCCAGAGTTCATTTTTTATACTGATGAGCCATCATCGATATCTTACTCTTGGTTAAATATTTATCGAAAAGAATGAATTGAAAGCATACTGTCATACTAAAATTGATTTCAAATTGTAACCAAACATCAAAGAAACTCTGTAAGAGATCATGTTCTTCAATAGAGAGTAGATGTCTTTTAAGACCATGTAATTGGAAATATCGGATTAACAATAAAATTTAAAATACATTACCAACAAGCGAAAAAACTGTGCATGCGTGAGTGTACATAGATACCTACATAGATTCTAATCATCACTTCGAAGAATACGCGATGAGACATGGCTGTCATCAAATGAAAATCGCCTAGTCCATTTAGCAAGAAAATTAAGCTGACCACCTATGCCCTGATTTGGCGATATGTGTGACTCGACTTTTCCATCAATTCGATCAATATGGGCTGTCTCCACATAACAATATTACAGCAACAAGGGATATTAAGTTGGCAAAAGTTCTATCGTCAAAAAGTGCTTGGTATTCTTTAACCTCAAATGCGTAGATATTGTGTTAGTGGTAAAATCATGAAATTTCATTTGGTTTTAATAAATGAATTTGTAGCAGGGGGGGGACAAGATAGATAGAATAATGTCATTATTTTATATAAAAAAATATGCCCTATCTCATAAAACCAAGCATACTTTAAAGGCTTTAATCTAAGTTCAAATTATTTGCAAATGCTCGTTTTCAGTTGGCATACACGTTGTTAAAACAACAATTCGGAGTTTTATACAAAATACTTTTGAGGCCTCTTCATCATTATGAGCTATCGCTTCTGTAACAACCCATCGTTACCCTATGTTCGAGCAAAATGTTTTCAAAATTCGTAATCCTTTAGAGGTTATATTGTATTAAACTACACGTCTATTAAATCATGAAGTTTATTGTCGTAACTTGGTCTCAGAGTAACTTTTTTCAAAAATGTCAAAACGCAGAATTTTTAACTTTATATGTAGGCAGAATGTGAGGTTTTGAAGAAAAGAAGGCTGATAATTAACATTTGGACTGTAGATAATCTTTGCTAGGCGATATCCTCCAATCATTTCGTAAAGATAAATGACCAGATTCTGTTGCAATGATCTATTTGTGTTCTTAACAAAACTATAACGGTACCCTAGGTAGGAATAATATGGTAAACTGCTGGTCCGATAGGGCTTCTGTTTGCTTAGATTTAGTGTCATGATTGTTGGTCCAAAACGCAACCGCTTACCGATCAGGTTGGTAGAAATTCGGTTGCTCAACCGATATGTGAATTTTTCGTCTCAGAGATGTTGTATAGGCTCTGCGGCTCTGATCATTACGTTTGTTATATACCAGCAATCAGCTGAAGAAAGAAGACATTGTTTAACTAGCTTCGCTAGTTGCTATATCAATTTTCATTATGTTAATGAAGTATTCATGCAGTAATTTGACCAAACAGTGCAATAAATTTAAGTTATAATGGATACTCATAAATTTTGACGATTTCTCAGGATAGGAAAAGAAAATGACAAATACATGTTGCCTTAAAATGACTCAGAATTTGGCAAAAGAAAGTAAACAAAATATGATCTTCACAACAAAATTAAAAATAGCACCATACTTCTTAATCGCACAAAATTTAGCTTGCAGTCAAGGAAATACTGAAATTTGGGCAGATATTTCTCTGCTTTAGCCACATTATTCTGTCACGATATTGACATCAATATGTTAAATTCATTTATGGAAAATTAAATCAAGATATAAGTTAAATGTTCAATGTACAATATGAAAATCCAAAGATTGTGCATTGATTTCAGTGATTATTCACTCATATTCATCCTCTGGAACACATTATTGAAGGATCTTAAATCTTCAGTTCATTTATTGAATTATCAAATTCCTAATAAAATATGAAAATAAATCCTGAAAGATTCGCCTAAAAGTCTAAGTCTGGACTGGAATACAATTAAACTACAAATATTAAAGTAGATCTAGGCCTTTAAAGCGCAATAAACTTTGACATTTATAATGATCGATATTTAAAAATTAAATAGCAAACGTAATAGAATGGAAAATTTGCTTTAAAGACCAAAATAACATATGAGATAAAAAATTAAAGGAATTGAATATTCTATTAAAAACAGTAGTATCAATTTTTTAGTATAAAATCGAAATTATTCGAAACCATTAAGATTTGTTTTATTCTATCGATTAATCCGAGGGCCGTACCTGAGTACCTCGCTTGATTTTAAAGTAGCTATGATTACGGACGAGAAGGGGATTCAATATTCTGATAAATTTTATGACGATGCCTATGAATATAGGTGAGCTTATTTTACAGGCGCTTACAATTTTTTATTGGGTGGAAGTTGTGTAATAGGGATAAATCATCGCATTTTATATCAAAAATGTTAATAATACTAGTACCTTTCTTTTGAGTTGTTCTTTTAAATCGGTTTATGTCAGTTTAGACATTTCTGCAGATTCATAATTTTTGACTTAATTCCTAACAATTATTTGCTGTATCACCGTTAAATATAGTTTCATTCTTTAATCGGATATACGATCGTTGGCTTATTCTGAAAAAAATACTTCGCTGAAATATATGAGTATGGGGTGTTTTATACGTAATTCTTGTAAATTTTAGTCTTTTTGAGTCTAATCGCTATTTTTTCATTTGATTTCATCATAGACACGTGTATCTGCCAAAAGATATAGCTACAAAAGTGCCCAAAAACCGGTTGATGACAGAGAAGGAATGGCGCTCCATCGGTATTCAACAATCTCTTGGTTGGGTTCACTATGCTATTCACAATCCCGAACCTCATATTATATTGTTTCGCCGCCCACGCACAGATTTACCTGTTGCTACAGGTCCTATGAATGCTCATGCTCAATACGCCTGAATCTTGTTTCGTTATGCTTCCATTGTTTACTGTAGTTATTCATACGAGCTCTTTATATGATTATTTTCTTTAATGTGAAGGTCTTTTTGATAAAATTATTGGTGTTTTTTGGTGTCTGTACCATTAATGGCGTTAGATTGG